TTGGAGGAAAATAACACAGATAAGGAAACAATGTGTACAAAGGCATGGAGATGTTAAATAGCATGGTATGCTGGGAAACTGTTATAATTGTGAAGGAGGAAGAGGAATGAAGAGGCCTGCGGCACAGGCCAGAGCCATACCAGCAATGGCTCTGGATGCCATAGGTACAGAGATGCTTTGAAATTAAGACAAAATAAATGGATGAGAATAGAAAACTGCTAGTTCTAGATAAGCTCAGAGTAAACATGAAGTCCCAGAAAAGAGCAACATTAACATTTTCAGACAGATTCCAGTTGACTTTTGTCATATAGGTACAGCTGTAAATTTGGTTTACACTGTCAATATTAAACTTGGACCTGAGGCCTTTATCTATAAAATTAAAGCTAAGAAGTCTCTCCTTACATAGCTCACTGTCAGTCTTGACAACAGCCCTACAATGAAGGTAGTGGCATCCCTTGTACCATTAGAAGTGCTTGCCCATAGCCACACAATTAGGCAACGGCAGAGCAAGGATGTGAAGCCAGGCCTCCCCAGCTGCCACATTCTCACTCTTTCCTGCTGCACCACCCAGCTACATGGAGTTTGACTTAGTTTCTCAGCAGTATGGCCAATAATAACAACTGCCAATAAAAACAATTGTCAATAATAATAATAAGTTTAGTGCCTGAACTAAGATAAAGCTAAAACTAAGTTCCTAGAAGATGTTATAAGACTACCATAAATTAAGTCCCATAAACAAACTTATTGAATAAGCAATGCGAGATACATGTTATGTTCTTGCACATCTGGACACTGAACTAGAGCTGTGTGAGTTATCCATATTATTTTGGTTAAAAAAAAATCCAAAACCTTTTCCTTTATCTGTCCTGTCTGGGGATTCTGTGAAGGAACTGCCTCCACACCCTGGGGATCCTCACCTCAGTCCCATCACCTTTAATCACCTTCTATGGCAACTTCTCTCTCTCCAGGGAAAAGGCTACAGTTTCAGAAACAATCTGGAAGGGTTTGTGAGATGCTGATAGCTTTCAAAGGATCATCACTAAAGAACAGGGAAAAACAGGAGTGCTTATTATGCTCTAAATGATAATTGACCCGTTTATTCCTCCTAAGGAAATAGCTACTTGGTTCAGGTTCACATATACAATATAGCCTTTTAAAAAAATAATTGTTTTATTTTTCATGCCTTACTTAATTAATTACTCTGCTGTGTTTCAAATGTGACTGAAGCACACAGGAATCACAGGATTTAACTAGAAATGATTGCCCGCCCCAGCCGGGACCCCTTCTGACCTTTCCTCATCAACATCTGATATTCTTTTCACACACACCCCCACCCTCCTCCATCCCACTCACCCCTAATCACCACTCTGGCTCTCCCCAGTT